GTAACAGTTTTTAAACTTGAAACAGAAGATACGAGTACCACTTTAATTGTGGTTCACTTTTCTTCGAGGGAATGCCAAATTCGGTGGTGGTGGTGGTGGTGGTGGTGGTGGTGGTTTGAGTGCCAAATTCTTTATATGTAAGCTTTCAGGGAAATGTTTTTTCAGGGAAAATGTTCTTTACTTACTAATCAAGTTTTCCAAGATCTGGATTACAGGGATTGAGATTGGGTTTCTAATTCTCATATTGCCATTAAATTGTTTGTTTTGCTTTGTTTAGCTTTTTTTTTTTTTTTTTTTTTTTTTAAACAAGGCCTTATGCTACTGAATGTATGGACTTTTAAAAAAAAGTTGAAAATGGTGTATTTCTTTTTAAAATTTTATTTATCCAAGGTGTTTTATACATTGAAAACAGTGTTGCCCTTATTGTAACTAACTTGACTGATGATCTGCTTACTTACTATGAACTGGGAAAATTAAATGCTTATAGGGATTTCCCATGGAACCCTAACCACATTATTTTTCTTTTTAGATCAAAGGGATTATATCTGTGAATATTGTGCTAGGGCCTTCAAGAGTTCTCACAATCTGGCAGTCCACCGGATGATTCACACCGGCGAGAAGCCATTACAGTGAGTGTTACTTACTGGTGGGCATGTGGGTGAGAAGTGTGTATCAATCCTCCTTCTGGTTAGCCCCCATGCAAACATTTTAGTTGCCACTGCTATTGACTTTTACCAAATTAGAATGAGTATTGATTGGGAATGCTACTTAGTGAACTTTTTCTTATTCCTTCAGTTTTTCAAACAAATGAAACAGATTAATTTTCCATCTAGTTAGCTTTTCCTAATTTTTCCCAAGAAGTGTGTTACTGACTATTGCCTATATATGTGACCTCTAAATGCTTGCCCTGACCCTGAAGAGGAGCCCTCTTCATTTCTCTTATCAGCCATTTCCTTTTCCACTCTTCCTAGATGCGAGATCTGTGGATTTACGTGCCGGCAGAAGGCATCCCTTAATTGGCACATGAAGAAGCATGATGCAGATTCCTTCTACCAGTTCTCTTGCAATATCTGTGGCAAAAAATTTGAGAAGAAGGACAGCGTAGTGGCACACAAAGCAAAAAGCCACCCTGAGGTGCTGATTGCTGAAGCTCTGGCTGCCAATGCAGGCGCCCTCATCACCAGCACAGATATCTTGGGCACTAGCCCAGAGTCGCTGACACAACCTGCAGATGGGCAGGGTCTTCCTCTTCTTCCTGAGCCACTGGGAAACTCCACGTCTGGAGAGTGCCTCCTCCTAGAAGCTGAAGGGATGTCAAAGTCATACTGTAGTGGGACAGAACGGGTGAGCCTGATGGCTGATGGGAAGATCTTTGTGGGAAGTGGCAGCAGTGGGGGCACTGAAGGGCTGGTCATGAACTCGGATATACTCGGTGCTACCACAGAGGTTCTGATTGAAGATTCAGACTCTACTGGACCTTAGTGGAAGGGAAGACTTTGGGCAGTGGGACAGCTCAGACTTTGTATTTAAAAGATAAAAAGGACAAAAAAAAAAATTTAAAGCATTTAAAATCTAGTAAAATAACTGAAGGGCCTGCTCTTTCCATTGTGAATCACAGCACACACACCTACACCCTCTCTTCTCCCTCTATTGTCCCCTTTATAAAATTGATGTTGCCTTTACCAAAAAGGTAGGCAAAAAAGAAGAAGCTCTTAAAGTGAGGGTTATCCTCCTACTTGGTTCCAGCCAGGCAGACTTCCTGCTCACCGGCAGATCCCTTCTTAAACCTGTAACTCTGATGTGCTCTGGATCAGCTTTTAACTCTTGATAGTATATTACTGTCCTCTAAACCCCTTCTCCACTGCTGCCCTATGGTTCTGGCTTCTACCCACTGCAGCACACTTACTTACCCCCAAAGTATCATACAGTTCTAATCTCTGGAGGCTGGCAGCTTGACTTGGCACTTTAGGCCCCTTAGCAGGGTGAGCTGTTAAAACAGCACACCCCTCTCATTCAACCCCATTTCCTCCATTCCCTGCTGGGTTTCAGAAAGGAAGGATTCATGGGGACCACCTCCCTCCTCTGTGACCCCAGCACTTCAGTCCCCTTCCACCACCTCCATCTGGTTCTCAGTGGTGCTCACTAGCTTGGAAGCAGGCTCCCTACAGGGAGGGGGCTGCCCTCTGCATGGTTTCTCTGACCATAAGACAGGGCTCTGTATCAGTGAGACAAGTCCCAGACTAATGGCAGAAATTTGCACTTTGAACATGTGTGTTTTTGTGTTGTGGAACCCGAGATTCCTTATTTATTAACGGAAAGTCTGATTTTTTTTGGGTGGGGGGGACTTCGTTGCTATATTTTGTGGGGCTGGGAGAGATTAGGTTATTCTGACATGGGGTCCTTTCCATAAGAGGTACTTTAGAAGGCAGGATATAGGGTTGAAGAAGCACAGCCAGCCTCTAAAATCATAGCTCTCCAGTGGCCTTTAACGAAAACTGGTCCTCAGCACTAACAAAATCACTACAGTAGCCTAGTGCTTTCTCGGAAGCCTTTTTAGGGAAGGATGTTAGGTTTTTGGTAATTAGTGCTCTTTGAGTTCTTAGAGCATTGAGATTTAGAAATTTTAAGGGGATGAGAAGGGTTGTTCAGGGTCTGAATTACAGATAAAAGATTTTCTCTTGTGAATTTCTTTCTTTTTTTATCCCCATTATTTCTTTCTAGACCTTCCTTTTGGCCCAATTCTGGCCCCTTGCTTTGTTTTTGGTTTTGCTTTACTTTATCATTGTTTCATCCCAGATCCCAATTAGTGAAGGACACTACCATTAGCGAAGAGATAGTCTACGACTCGTACAGTTTGAAGTCAAAGAAAATCACTCTGTTTCCTTTTTATAAAAAATAACACTTCAGAAGAGGAAAGGCTTCCATAGACAAAGTTAATAATCTGCATAATAATGGCTTTGGCTTTCACCTAAAATTCTGGGAATTACCACTTCCATTGAGATAGGGATTTTCTTGGGGTGGATTGCTTATTACTGGCCATGGGAGAGGCAGGTGATGTTTTTGTATAAGTGTATAACTCCCAGAAGACTAAAAACTTATTTTGGCTCATTTTTAGAGAATTAGAAGGGCAGTTTCTATCCTGTGTACCTTACAAGCTGGAATTAAAGGCTTGCCCTATTCATTGTTTGTCAGAAATGTGTGATGGCTGTTGGAAAGAATGAAGTTTTGCTGAGAGCAAAATAGGGAACAGCTTGTTTTTCACAAACACTAAAACTACAAAGTTTATCAATTTTCTCTTTGATTTATTTTTTCCCAAAAGAGGGGGTAACAAAATGTCATCTCTGAAAGAGGCTCACTTTATACCCACTAGTGTCAGTGGTTGGGATTCCAGGGAATAGGGAGTCAAACACCTACAGTGAACAGACTTAAATGCACTATTGTTTCTTTTCAGAGTGTTGCAGATTTGCCATCCCTCCAGTGTGGGGGTAGAAAATGGAATAAGGATAGAAGGGATGTAGAATATGCTTTCCTGCCCACAGTAAGGATTTGGAATTGACTTGGTATGTTGAGTACATTTGAACATACTTATCAGGTTGATTGGGTGGGTTTACAACAAGGTTGTTCCACTCCCATTATAAGTCCATTTTGTACTGTTTCACTAGCTCGCATCTGTACCCCACACTTACTTTTGTCTCTGTCACATTTATCTCCTTTGTCTCTATAAGTTATATTCGCAGTGGTTAGTCATCAGATATTTTAACCACCTACACAAAAGCAAACTGCATAAAAAAACTTGAGATTCAGGGAAAATATGTTCTTCCCTATATCACACTCCTCCCCACCAAAGCAACAAGTTAGTTCTAATAATTAGAAATTTTCTTTTCTTCCTCCTTTTGTTTTTTGTCCTCTTTGTAGGTATCACTTGCCTATAATTTGCTTCAGTAAATTATTACAGCAGTTTGCAGTCAATCTTAAAATATTCTTCATGGACTTTATCTTTTTTCCTTTTGAGAAAGAGATGCTAGCACAATAAAGAGTGGTGTAAGTAAGCTGTCTTATACTAGGCCCTCTTCCTTTTGCCTGTCTGCTTCTCATGCTGTTCACTTCTGTGTCCTTCCAAGGAGCCCTTTCAGTCTTAAAATTCTGCATTTTCTACTCTTAGTCAAATTGAGTTACCTTTTTAATAACTCTCCCCACTGCATATTCTCCAATCTGAATTGGCAGTTCAAAATTCTAAAAATGTAATTGAAATACAAGTATTATTTCTGGGAGATGTGCTTTCCCCTAGTCTCTGGCTATCCAAGGTTATTCTGCATAATTGAGACTTACTATGCTCCAGAGAGTTTGGAAAAACACTGGCCAGGATTACTGGGAATAAAAAAGAATTCAGGTATGGAAAAGCATCTACATAGAGCACTTGAACCTCCTTTGTACCTGTTGGAAAAAATATAAAGAGTGTACTAAACCCGGCTAAGGCTATTACAGTCTGGTTGTTTAAAGTACCATTTTTCCTTCCTTTTTCCCACTTTTCAATGTACTCAAGAAAATTAAAAAATTGTAATGGATCAATTTAAAATATTTTTATTTCCTAAAAGCCTTTTTTGCCTGTTGTAATGTGCAGGACCCTTCTCCTTTGATGGGAGAGACAGGTAGTTACCTGAATCTAGGTTGAAAAGGTTATGTAAAAAGAAATTATAATAAAAGGGATACTCTGCTTTTCAAATCCTTGTTTTCTCTTAATCTAGGTAAGGCATATCCAAAATAAATATGTAAAGAAGAAAAATAAAAGTTGTCTTCATGGAAGCAACTTGTTTTCCTTGATTGTACTGAGTTACAGTTACCCAAAGGGTTAAAACAACTGATGCTGTTAACTGAGAATCCAGTGGCCAGAGCACGACGTTTATGTAAAGGCAGGTGCTATTGCTTCTCTCGGGCAGAGTAAGATAGTTCACTTCTGACTCTTGGTTCTTGATCGCTAATGCTGAGTTGCCATAGGATTCTATGATCATCTGGCCAGCTTGGAAACTCCTCCTGTGTTTGAGCCCTCTGGAAAAGATGGCTTTATTAATCTAGTAGAGAGAACTTTAAGGATGCTGTGAGGTTTGTTAGTCTGATAACGACAAAACCTTGATAACATTTCATATCAGTACTTTTTCACAAAACTCCATGTCCACAGCAAGTACTAACTTTAAAAAAAAAAAAAAAAGGAAAGAAAAAATAGAATCCTCCTACCTTCTTAAAAGGCCTACTGTGGGCTGCCAGTCTCACTTTAACTCCTCTCCACCCCTTGTTTATTGTTTCCCTGTGGAAGTTTGTACCTGAGAAGGCATGTGTTTCCATTTAGAGAAAATGTCTATGGTGTGAAATTGTGAAAGTTAGTTGATTGGGGATGACTTAGCTCTTTCTGGGAGCATCATCTTCTAACCTGCAGAGTTAAGTTAGATGCAGTAGAAGAGAATTCTGCACCTGCTTTTAAACTCTTTTGCCCTTATTTCAAATCCCAGCTCATTCTCGGAATTTGTTAAGAAGCAGTGTGGTATGACTGGGATAAGGAAGAAAAAGAAAAGCATGTTGTCACTTGAGACTGCCTTAGAACTGTTTCCCAGTCAGGGTTGGGTGTTTCTTGTCCTTTGGAAGAGAACAGGCCTAAACAGTACCTTCTTCATCCTGTAGCTACGAGGAAGGCACCAAGATCGAGGTTAGAGATGACTTACCTGGCTGATGTTTAGTCGAGTGTAAATGAAACTAACTTTAAATATGTAATGAAACAATAGAAGTGAAAAGATGCTGTTTTTTTAAAGGACGTATTTCACATAAATTTTATTTCTTGAGCAAAATATAAAAAACCTAAAGAATGAAATTGCAAAGTCAATGGGAGAATCAGAGACCTATATTTAAATGATATGCCTGCTTGTTGGATTTTGTGCAACATTTAGTTTCTTTAAGCCTTAGTTTCTTAATGTAAAATGGGGTAAATAATATTTATCTCACAGAATTATCCTAAAGATCAAATAAAGGCTTTAAAGCCTTTCACACAGTGTCTGTCCCAGAGTAGCTGCTTAATCAATGGCAGCTATATTGATGATAATAACTTAATAGTATTGAATACTTTACCAGGCCAAGAAAGGAAAGAAAGAAGGAAGAGGACATGGGGAGTGCAAGGGACGGTGATAACAAAATGAACTGATTATGTGTATATAAAGTAGATCACATTAGGCAGGGGTGTCATGAGGATTAGTGTGATAGTGACCTTGTTGCTAAGTGCAAAAGCAAAACAATGACATAAAAACAAGTAGGCTCGGCCCTGGTGGAGGAGAGAGATGGAGGCAGACACTGCAGGAAAGAAAGCTGATTAAAAAGGGGCCTTTGATTCCACAGGCACAAAAATCCACAGCCAGGAATTTGCTGCCACCTCTGAGTCAGGCAGGGAGGTGGGGGTGGGGTGCACAATCCCATTAGTAGAGAATGCCCAGTGGATTTAGTCTGAGAGTCACATTTCTTATTTGGACCAGTGTAGACAGGAGCAAACCCAGCTCACTTGTTTCCTGGGACAGTTGAGTTAGGGGATGGCTTTTGCAGAGCACTCACCGCTGACCCCTCACCGCCGGGACCTCTGTAGCCGCTCTATCTGGCTAGCAAGGAAGATTCGTTCAGACCTGACTGCTCTTTTGGAATCTTATGTAAGTTGCCTAATTTGCTGTTGTCTGTTTTCACTTCATCTCTTCTGATGCAGCTCCTTATCATCATGTTCCAGCCCCCATTACCAGCCATGAAGGCCCTAATCATAAAATCATTCATAGATTGGGCGCCTATTACTTGACATGGTTCCTTCCTTTAAGGAAATTCCTGTGACCTTATTTTCTTCTCTGGGCTGTTTAGGAGACATGTTCTTTGAATAAGAAAATAGCCATAGGTTTCTGGGTAGGATTGGCTACATGTCGTGGAGACTATTCCTAATTTGATTGCCTGCAGTCTGAATTCTCCCAGAATAGATTAACCATGGGCCCTCTAAGTGTGGGTTCTTCATCCACATTGTTCTGAATTTTTGAGCTATGTAAATGAAAGAATGAGGTTTATAGGATTGGGAGAAGAACAGCATAAACCCAAAGAATTTCTTTTGTACAGTATTAGCCACCCACTCTTTCATTACATATATCAAGTCTCTGTGTGTCTGAGTGGTCACCTACACGATCAAAAGGACCCCCTAGAAGATTCATTGGGGACTTAGGGAAGTGTCAAAGGAGCTAACCATGCAGTTCCAGGTTGGTTTTCTGATAGTGGGAGATCCCCATCAGTCTCCACCTAAGGCCTGCTATTACAGAAACACTGAAAAGGAGAGTTCTAAATTTAAATTCTCTGAGAATTTGTTTATCTTTATACAGACTCACCAGTTAGAAGTCAGACTCTTTGAAGTGACGTTTTTTATTTTTAAATTTTTCTTTAATTCCCACTGAATTCTTTAAAGGATTGTCTTCACCATTAAGAGTGGATAATGAAGGAGAGGAGGTTAGAACAATTCTGCAGTGGGTTAATTCTAGGGCTTCTTAATAGGTCTGGTCAGTGTCTTCAAGTTTTAAAATACTTAAAACTCCAGTATGATTCAAGTATTCCAGTTTCCAGGAGGGAGTTCAAAGTGGGAAGGAAAAATTGTAGACCAGTGTTTTTCAACCTTCAGAATCTAATGAAAGCTGCAAATTCTCCCACAAAAAGTGAATAGGTAGTCAAAGCAGTATATATCATTTCAGAGAGAGTAAGGTCTTCCTAAAGTCCAAACATTGGATCCCAAATGAAGAGTTCCTTTTGGAGAATTTTTATTTTCTTTACAATTTGGATCCTTGACCAGGAAGGTTTATAAGACTTCACATGAGATTTAGAAATTAAATGAAAATTTTGGGATAATTATAGAAGATGTGATGTTTTTATGTATCCTTGGCCAGATGAAGCATCAGGGCCTGAACGAGAACATAAACCTGGACTCTGTGGATGGCGTGCCAATGGCAAGCACTGATCGGTGGAGTGAGCTGACTGAGGCAGAGCGACTCCAAGAGAACCTCCAAGCTTATCGTGCCTTCCATGCTATGTTGGCCAGGCTTTTAGAAGACCAGCAGGTGCATTTTACTCCAGCTGAAGGGGATTTCCATCAAGCAATACATACCATCCTGCTCCAAGTTGCTGCCTTTGCTTACCAGCTGGAGGAATTAATGATGCTGTTGGAACACAAGATTCCCCCCAACGAGGCTGATGGGATGCCCATGATTGGTGGAGATGGTGGTCTCTTCGAGAAGAAGCTGTGGGGCTTAAAGGTGTTGCGAGAGCTTTCACAGTGGACAGTGAGATCTATCCATGACCTTCGAGTCATTTCTTCTCATCAGACGGGGATTCCAACACATGGGAGCCATTATATTGCTAATGACAAGAAAATATAGTAATTATCCCCTCCTCTCTCTCCCTCCTTCCTTTTCTAATGGAATATACACTGCCCTGAGGCCTCAGTTTCCCATTCTTGTTTTGAAAGGTTGAAAGTTTTCTAACCTTTGAGACCATAGGCATTTTCATCAAGTAGGGTTGGAGACATGGACAGGTTTGATCTGGGTGTGTGTGTGTGTGTGTGTGTGTGTGTTGGAGCCATAATGGAATGGAGGCAAGGGCAACATCCTTCCACCTTAGTGCTCTAACCTTTCTACCCACTAAGTTAACCTTACAAGGATTTAATAGTCTCACAGGATAAATATGTTTAACTTTAGTCCTAGATGACTTTTCTGGGAAGATTAAAAATTAATAGTCCTGGACTCTAGCCAATTCAAACTCCTGGATAATAAAAATACTAACATTTATTAAGTACTATATTGTAGCAGTATGCCGGGAGCTCTGTGTATCTTAAAATATTCACAACAACCCTCTTGAGGGAGGTAGTGTTATTCCTATCTGGCAGATGAGAAAACAAGTTCTAACTTGGTCAAGATTACCCAACTAGCAAATGGCACACTTAAGTTTGAACCCAGGTATTTCTTATCCCAAAGCCTATGTGCCCTTTACTTTGGAGGCCTGATTATGACCCTCTGTCACTGCACCTCTTTGCCGTAGAGAGTTGGAAAATACATTCATGTATTCTATCCCCAGCACTGGAAAACAATCCCCATTATATGTCCTTATAGGTCAGTGACACAATTTTAGTGTTAAAGGCGGTATTTGTTGCCCACGCTTGGCAAAAACGAGAGCATTAGAGATGTTAAAATTCTGTTTGGGGAAAAGAGTAGGCCCACCAGACTTCTGAAATTAGGAAACTGAAGATGTGCTGTAATACAGCCTGCTTTATAAAGTGTTCACAAATGTTTTGGGGTTGGGCACAGCTCAGAGCAGCTTACCTCGTATTTATGGTGATCAGCAGTACAGCGATACAGGCCCTGTAAGCAAGCATTCACGGACAATGGTTGGAATAGTACTCAGGTTAAAATGTCACAAAACTCCTTTACCACACATTCTCTGGACTTAGTCATGAGGAGAGGGTGAGGCCCACTCTGTTCCCAGTGGGAATGCCAGCAATTCTGAAACAATATATAGCACAGCCTCCATGTTTCACAACAAAGGGACAGGGCACTGTGTTTAATGTTCTTGAGAGAAACACTGTGAAAGACACCAATGGGCAAATGTGGGAATTAATAGAGAAAGGTCATTTGTGGTCGGGTCTGTGGACTAGTGGTGCAGCATAAATCCAAAAGTTCCCAGGTGTTACGGTATTTCACACTACCAGTTAAACCCACCATCTTGGATGCAGGACCCAGATTAATTTAGTTTACTTACTTGAAGCTCCTGTGCTCTTAAGTGAATCAGGAGTCAGAGAGGGCTAGCACCCATAGGCTGCATGAGATGGGATGGGGGGACCTAGCTTGTGTCTTTTTCCCACAAGGGTTCATGAGGTCAGTGTTAAAAGGACTCTGGGTTGGGCACTGTGGCAATACAAGGGACATAAGGCCCTGCTCTGTAGTCTGCATTTGTGGAAATGAGCTTATATGCATAGAAGACATCAATACTGGTTGAAATTGGGAGGCACAGGTGTTTTTAAGTGTTAGGGAGTTAAAGAAAAGGAGCTCAACAAGGACCCGAAATCCCTTTCTGGAGGAGGGGGGAGTTCAGTTGTGTCTCAGAGGTTGGCTGAGTACCAAATAGAAGAGAAGTGACAGAGACAAGAAAGAGTTGCCTGTTTAGAAGAAAGTGAGGCAGTAATAAACATTCGGGTCCCACTGCCACTAGAAGTTTATTGTTTGGTTTTATTTCATTTGTAATTTTGGAGTAGAGATAGATACTTCCTTAGTAAATGCATAGAGGCTTACTTCATTCAAGCTTTTTCTTCCAGCTGGTTCTGCTTCAAGAGCAATATTTCTCATTGATAAAGTACCTGTGAAACTCTTAGATTTAATTAAATTAATGTGAAACTCTTAGATTTATCTGTGAAATATTTTACACTCTTTAATAGATAAAAGAGGTGACTACAAATTTTTAGTGCGGAATAACTGATAACAAAGTTGCTGAATCTGAAAAGAGTGACCCCTCTCCGAGTGTTTATATTTAGGAAATGTGACAGAGCAGACATCAGCAGAAGTTTCAAAAGTCAATGGAACATGGCTTAAGCTCTGAGTTACGTGCGAAGGAATATTTATATGTAAGAGGCACATTTGAAGTGGCAGAGTGTCCAGAAAAGGTACAAGTACTAACTATTGAATGGGAGGAAATAGGAACCTGTAGAAGTCTCTATTAGGTCACAAGCAGCAAGTCACCAGAGTGTACTCCCAGGGTCGTGCTGAGTTCCGTACCAGTTTCTTCTTCAAGAAAACTTGCAACATGCCTCAAAAAGTATGGAGAAAATCCTTAGAAAAGTGTAGATAAAATAAAGGAGAAGTGAGCACTTACCTTTAAAAACAAAGGCATAAATGTGAATGGATCTGAGTGTGTAGACTGCATCATGCTTATCTGAAATGGACAAGACAGTGAAAAAGGGACCAACAATAGGTCCATGTTCTAGGTGTGTGTCTTAAATACAGATAGGAATAATGGCAACACTGTGGTAGTATGGTTTCTTTAAGGATCCAGAATCCAAAAGAAATTTTTGGTCTTTAGATTTTACTTTCCTTGTTCCTTAGATCTATATATGGATTGGATCTGGGGAATCATATTTTTATATACATGTAAACTGTATTATATAATACATAACTATAAAATTTATAATGTATAACATGTAACTATATAGTGATATATATATATATGTATGCGTGTGTGTGTGTGTGTGTGTGTGTGTAGATACAAATAAAAGGCATGAATGTAGTTTCTAACCCCAACTCATATTTTGTAAAGAGTATTCCTTTTACCCCACAGCCTATAGAAGTCATCTGTGGGAGAGAGATTTTGTTCTCCTGAATCTGTTAAGGAATTGCATATATGAGAGAAGATAAGCTCTTTTTACATTGATTTAAGAAGGTGGTTTGGAAAAAACTTGCAAATTGACACAAACTCACAAACAATCATCGAATAAAAATAGCTTTGAAATAATCAGGTTTGAGGGAAATGAGAGTTTTAATAAAGTCATAGCCTTAGTATTGCTGTCATTCCAGCCTCCTGTGGATTAAAGCCCAATGGATGACTCACTCTGGTAACCAGTGGTCAAACAGAGGACAAGTGAATATTTCAGGGAGACCTGTCTGAGAAGTGGTTTAGAATGACTTCATGAATCCTCAGCTCCTCAAGTAGCTGAGCACCATCCCTCTATTAATACTAAGGAGTAAAATAGAAATGCAGGAAGTGAAGGGGCTTTCACCACAATGAGAAAGTCATGAAGAAGAAGAGGGGGGTAAGAGTTTGGCTATCACTTCAGTTGAGTTACGGTGTGTACATGTGGGTTAGTCTCTAGACAGTTTTCAGACCAGGGCATTTACAAAAGATGGTTTGGCCTCCTGCCCACCCAAGAATGAACCCTCTGAATGTTGGTATGTTGAAAAAGTGAATGTGATAAAAATGTCATCTTTCCACTCAAAAGCTTCTATAGAGCTCTAAAGTCTATAAAGACAGTAAAAATATAATTTGATCTTTTGGTGAAATGTGTGAGGTATACAGTAACATCCATGTGCGTGTGATTCTTACATGACTTGGAGCCGTCTATTTTTGGCAGATAGAACATAAAAGATGCAAGAACGGCTAACAATAAAGATCTCGCCTCAGCAGGACCATGAGTTGCTTCTTTTATTTCTGTATCTTTGGATGAGCAAGAGGAATTTCAAGTGATTTCAACATTGGATGAAATATAATCCTCCCAGCCAGGGCCATGCTCAGTCAAGCGTGCCGGGTAAATCACCATGGTGCCAGGCCACTGGGAAAGTCTCCCAAGGCCAGCCAGCCTAGGAAAGGTAGATTGCCCCATACGTATCAGCTGGCCTGCAAGTGAGGCAGATTTCCTTTCCTATGGCTTAATTTCAAGTATTTGGACCCAAAGCAAACTTTTGAAGGGCAGAGGAAAATCCCAATTAGCCCATTTCTAGTGTAGTTTGAAGGTAGAAACGAAGTTAGGAAAGAGAATTACCAAGAGATGCTGTGTTTTTATCCACATGTTCAAGGTATGAATATGGTGTTTACTTAGGTAGTGTCATTTATCCTCTGAAATACCATTTCACAGATGAGGGAAGCGAGAATGAGCATCTACTTGCCCTAGTACCTGACAGGTTTGGAGTTGGAGTTCTGGCTCCAAAACTCACTACACCCACCTAGGCTGTGGGCCGCCTAGCAATAGAGGTCATTTTATGTTGAAATATGTTCTCCATCTCTGTAATTCATTTTCCTTGGATAAAGCCAATATGGACTTGTGACAAATCCTGGTCTGTGACATATCTGGTAAGTTTCCAAACTTTGAGACAAGTCACCTCTTCTGAGCTTCCTCATTTATGAAACAGAAATGAGAACTTCATAAGTTGATCAATGGTTTAGACAAGTGAGTATCTGAAAATACTTGTGAATGGCATACAAACATCGAGTATATAATGGCTCAAACAGCTTGGATTCGTGTAAGGCCTCCCGCTGAGAAGAGAGCTCTCATCTCAGAGAAGGTATCTCAGAGTACCTCAATGTCTCAGAGAAATACCAGTTGCTCCCCGGAAGCCCATCTGGTCACAGCCTAGACATCACCCTGTTGTGCCTGTGAGCCTTTGGTCCCTAGAGACCAACCCAGCAGCTGCCGGGAATCCACACCTCCTGAGACTGGCTGTCGTCTACACTCAGAAGGTACCATTCAGAGAAGGTGGGTCAGACAAGGAGCCCCCTGGCAGACACTGCCCAGGGTGTGTGAAAGCACGCATTTAGACTTAGAGTCCCCTGCTATATATCCCCACCCTCCAGGGCTAGAGAGCTTTGGGAATCTGCCCTGGCTAAAAAGTAGAAGAATTAGCACCACGACTTAGTCTTCCTGCTTCTCCATTAGACCAGCCTCATCCTAGGAGACACCCGGTATTTCTGCAACCTTTTCATTCCCTCGCATCCAGCACTTTCTGGCAACCCTTCCTCTAACAAGCCCTCGGAAAGTGTGGGGACAACTCATCACCCAGACTTCTCTGGCCACCCCAGCCGCCACCTCTGCTATCATCTGGTGGTCTTATAATGCCATCCCTCCCTGGATACGGGAAAAGTAAGACCCAGTCTGAGGTAATGGTGAAAGGTGCTGTTCCTTCCAGGATAAGTGTCTTTCGAATGAGGGATCCAGGGAAGCTTTTTAAAAACACATTTCTGAGGCAGGTGTCTATCTTTAGGTCAGACCAGCCCTATGCCCTACCAGTAGGTAAGCATTTAGGACTGCTTTCTCTTCCCTCAATTGCCCCTGCCTCTTATCCTCAAATCTTGGGGCTGGAGGGAGAGTTTGAGGTTACACAGAGAACATAGTATGCCACTTAAAAACAAAACAAAAACAACAACAACAAAAAAAACAGTACTAAGCTCCAACAGGCTTTGAGCCGTTTCCTGCCCTGCTCCAACCAAATTCAACAACAGTACGTATTGTATGTATTGATGCTCCCTTTGGACCAGTAATAAAGATACAGAAAAGAATGTTAATCATAGTATCAAACATTTAATCAGTGTTCATTTAACACTGTGCCAATCATTGTCCTAAGTGCTTTACATGCATTAACTGCTTTATTCCTCACAAAAACTATGAGGTAGGTACTGACCGGGTTCAGAGTAGGCCACCCCAAAATGTGCTACTTTGGCATATTGATAAGTTACTTAAAACAGCCTGTGCAGAAAGGATACTCTGGCCCCCCTTTGTCCCCTGAAAGCAAGAAATATATCTCCATGGGAAATTACCCTCCATGTGCCAGGGGCGGGACCTCATCCACCAGAGAATGAACTGAGGGCTGAGAAGGCTGTTTAAACAAACCTTGTTACTTCTTCACTCATTTATTACCTCAAGCCCAGACCCCTTGCTCTTGTCAATTCTTCACAGATGTGTTTGTCTAAAAGGTGTAAAAGCTGCCTGCTCTGGTCACTTCTCTGAGTCTCATATTTTCCTATGCGAATGTATGAAACGAAATGTATTTTTCTCCTCTTAATCCGTCTTCTGTCAATTAATTCTTAGACCAGCCAATGAACCTAGAGAGGAAGAAAGAAGTTTTCTTCCCCTACAGTACAAAGAATTCTTACTGTACAACTGAAGAAAGTGGCACAGACAGCAGGTGGTCCCCTGCCCTGCAAACACTGGAGGCAGGACGGCTCTGAGAAAGACAACAGGTATACAGCCAATGGGGACAGAAGTCAGGGTACAGCTGGTCACGCCAGGAGTGTGAAAGCAGAGCTGAGGGAGCCCCAAGGAGGGGAGGAAGGAATGGAGAGAACTCCAAACAGGCACTTTGGGAGCTAGGGTTTTGGCCTGGGCCGAGGGGGTTGGGGGGGGTGCAGATGAGAAGTGGGCAAGAACATTTTGGAGAGAAGGAGCAGCACTAGTCAATGCCTGGAAGCTGGGAGGCTTGGGCATGTTTGCGAATGTTCCCCGGGACCGAGCACAGGGGTCTCCAAGAGCCACAGGTTGGGGGAGGTGCTGACACCTTCAGCAGACGCTCTCTTTGTTTTAGAAAACCAATTCAGATGGTTCTGTAAGAGCTGTACAGGACATGGAAGTGCCTGGGGGCAAAGGGATCCATTAGGAAGATGCCGCTATTCTCAAGGTAGGATGTGTTTCAGCTGTTTGTGGAAATGCTAGAGGCACTGGGATACAGAGGTGAACACGACATAATCCCTGATCTTTTAATATTTGATTTCTGGTGGGGGAAGACAGGCAACACATAATAATTTAGAGAGAGATAAGAGTCATGTAAGCAATCAAAAAGGTGTGATTATAAAATTACTAAGAGATGGGGGCATGATGGGCTTTCTCAAGTGGTTATTTTCCCCCCAGAAATCTGAAGGATGGGGACTCAGCCCCCAAACGACCTGAGAGTAGGTACCATGGGCACAGAGAACTAGTGAGTGCAAAGCCCTGAGGCAGGGCTGAGCTTCCCATTCTCTTGGAACTGAAAGGAGGCCAACACAGCTGAAACCAGGAGGGGCAGGGGAACAATGCCAGGGCCAAGGCTCTCGGCCAAAGACCAGGAGAAACACATCTGTGGCTAAACAGGGGGCTTTATTGCTCCTTGCTGCGAGGAAGAACGAGCACCATGGGGAACTATGAGGTGTCTCAGTAAGAGAGTGTTAGAACGTACTGTAGAATGAGGCTTCCACTGGGTGACTCAGGGGAGGGCCTGGGAAGGCCAAGCTCGTCCCAGCTTGGATGCTGTCAGAGAGTGAGGGCAATTCTATGATTGGGGATTTTGTGGGCACCACAGGGACCTTGCTCTTGTCTTTGATTAGACAAAATTAGGAAGTGGCCCTGTTTTGATTTACTTGTCGTGGTCTCAGGATAGCTTTGTGTGAGGTGATGGTTCTATGAGATTATTTAAATTGGTTAGGCTCATAGGCCGTGAGCCTCAGACCAGCTCGTAATGCTACTGCAGTCGAGCCGCGCATGTCGGATCAAGGCTGCCCATCGCGGCCCGCCATGTTTTCTCACTCACAGGCAGTAAGAGTATGTGTGGACAGGGATCTGGATTTTGTTTTAACCGCGGAACACAGACAACAAGTGTACAACCAACCCTGACAGCAGCCAATGTGAGGTTAATATTTC